TAACTGTCTTGAGTATGGAAATGGAATCTATATAAGCAATGAAAGAAGTAGACGAGGGAGACAGATAGTCATATGAAACATAGTTAGCAATGGGATAAATTGGCTGAGGAATGGTGCACTGACATTTACCTTTAGACCAATAGAGAGATCAAGGTCTTGTGAGGTAGAATCAGATGATGATGGACTTGATGCAGGACATATCATGATTCTGTTTTCTTCTGAAATAAACATGAACAATCGGTGGTAGTACTTGGGTCAGAGGCACACTAACACTATTATCGACTTGCTCAAATAAGGTTGGAGGCACATCATCTAGAAAAATACTATTATTTGTTTGCTCAGCAGAGGCACTTAGTATAAAACTATAAATGAGTCACTCATCGTCCGCCCTCTAATTTATAAACTTAGACAATGAGGAGAAGAACGATGTGTTTTTTAAAAAAATCACATCAGTTGATACCAAACATTTATTGAAATTTGCAAAGTAGCACCGGTATCTTTTTTGAAAGCGAGCATATCCAAAAAATACACATTTTAGGGTCTTTGAATCCAATTTTATCACAGTATGTCGCACATCTCGCATATAACAGATGCTACCAAATATTTTAGGTTGCACCGAAAACAAACACTTGTTTGGAAAAATAAGACTATAAGGAGCATTTTCATCAAGTACTGTAAATGATATACGATTAATTAAGAAACATACTGTGGAAACAGTATCAGTTCATAATTATTTAGGGAATTGCATTTGGAACAAGATGTCTCGAGCTATCTCAAATAAATGTTTGTTATTTCTTTCAATAATTTTATTTTGAGATGGTGTATTAATATACGAGGATTGGTGAAGGATCCCGCGTTTGGTTATATAGTTCTGAAATGAGTCTGACATATATTTCTTGGCATTATCACTTCTCAATACATACACAGAAATGTTGAATTATGTCTTAACTTCAGCACAAAAAGCACAAAAGTGAGAGAATACTTTAGAATGATTCTTCATAAAATATATTCAAGTCATTCGAGAAAAATCATCCACAAAAGTAACAAAATACTTAAAATCTGTTTTAGATGCAATAAGACAAGGGTCCCAAACATCATAATGAACCAATTCAAAAGCGTACTTAGCTCGTCTGTTGACTCTTGGATCTAACGGGTTGCGATGATGTTTTGCATACGACATAACTCGCAATCCAGCGAAAGTATATCATATAACTGAGAACATAACTTCTTCAACACGGGTAGAGAGGGATGTCCTAATTAACAATGAGATTCAAATAGAGATGTAACACTAGAGCAGGTAATCGACCGAGGCACCCAAGTATCAAAGATGTAGAGACCATTTGATATATTTTCTTTACCAATAATTTGTTTTGTCGTAAGATTTTGAAGAACACAGTGATCACAAAAGAATGTAATATAACAAGTCAAATTTTTATTCAACTTACTCACAGAAATCAGATTGAATACAAGTTTAAATAGACTTAATACAGATGACAAGATAATAGATGAACTTAGTTTTGTAGTCACAGACTTCACAATATTATAAGTCGATTCATTAGCAATAGTTACAGGAAAATGTGTTTTGTGTGGTCGAAAATTAAAATAAAAAATATTAGGATCACCTGTCGTGTGATCTGTAGCACCAGAATCAATCACCCATCTGTTTGAAGAAATAAGACATTTTTTCTTTGATTCAGAAAGAGAAAAATTTATTTAACGATTCCTGACACCAAGTGAATTTAACATATTCGTCAGCTGAAATCATAACAGTTCTCTCGAAAAATGAACTAGCAGTAGCAGTAACAATATTATCATTCTGTATCCTACTATTCTGCATTTTTTTACAATACTGTTTTATATATCCTTGTTCATGACAGTAATAGCAGACAATATCCATTTCAATTCAAGAATTATAAAAAATATGCCACCCATAATACCCAAAATACAATAGTAAGAGATCCAAAAAATATTGTAAATAAGCCAAAAATTTTGAGAAAATAAAATACTTCTTCACACACGAAAATAAAGAGAACCACACTGCCACAACCGGAGTTCATGCACCGCCGCATGCGCCGCCGCCGGAAATCACCAAAATTCCCCCTTTCAGCCAAAAATCACCACATAACCCTAATACACATCCTAATCTGGAATGACGCTTGCGGAAACGCCCTAAATCGTGCCAGAAAGCGGAGAATCGCTTAATGTTGCGCGATATCCTCTGACGCAGCTTTCCCTTCTTCGGCCTTCTGGTTTCGTGCACAGAACTAACCGACCGAGCTCCTCTGTGCCTTCTTTCCTCGAACGGGAATCCAAGACGCACGGGGATGCTCTCCTTCGGCAATCCCACTGTACGCAGCCTCAAACTGCCACGCGATCTGCTTCCTCGACTTCTCCTGCGTACACTACTGTGCTAGCTGCACTCTGAACTAGCCGAATATCAGTGGTTGTCTTCCTCTGATGTCGGGAATGAGTTGTTCAACTCTTCTTTTAATTTGATGTAATTTGACGCCTAAAACCCTAACCATAGCTATAACTCTGATACCATGTAAGATTTAGGAAAAGGAATTTTGAATATTTACATACATTTCATTGCATAGAGTTAGGAGTATATATACAAAGAAGAGGGATTTATATATGGAAACATAAATCACCCTATTAATGCTAGGAAATTAACTAATAATTACATAAGAATATTCCGTAATATATTTTGTGATATTCTAATAAGGTGAAAGAAGAGGAAAGTTTTCCTTCAGGAGGGCAATCCACTCGAGTTGGAAAGATTTCTCATTGGTAGGAGGATTTGTTTTCCCCTTTTCCATGGTTTCCTCTTCCATTTGGATTATGGTGCGTGTACTGTCATACTCGTGGTCTAATAGACTTGTTTTCTTCCTCCTTTGGCTTGGGTTGTGTTTAGAATGATTCATGCTTTCCATGATTCCATCATGAGGTTTAGAACCTCATGAGACTAGGGCTAAACTATCTGTGAAGTAGAGTTTTAGTATGAGCCTCTTTTTCTCTCTTCCACAGTCACAATGAAACTTACCTTATTGAGTAATAGCATTTCCTTCTTTCCCAAGATTTGGATTCGTACTTGATTATATTCTTGATTTAGTTCTACCAGAAACTGATATGCACAATTGTTTTTTCACAAATTTTTTGAAATGAGCTACATCTCTAAAGCAATTTATGGTAAGGTTGTGTTATTGGTCCGGGTCCTACTACTAGTTTTTTAAAATATTTGGAATATTTACTAGATAACTTATTCCCTTACTAATAGACCACATCTTTACAGTTAGGTCATAAGTCTGTACAACGTCCTTGACTTTAAAGTAGGTTTCGCTGATTGTATCCCATACTTCTTTTGTTGTGGGCGGAACATCAAGATCTTGTTTATTTCTAGAGTCATGGAGTTCCAAAGTCATACCATAATCATAGAAGCTTCTTTGTCCCAAGCATCAAAACTAGAGTCTCTGGATTATGGGCTAGATTCATACTAGAAGATGACTGAACTTACCTTTCTCCTTGAGGATAATCTGGATTAATTAGGACCTACTCAAATAATCCTTACATGTAAAGCTATAGGCAATATAGAATTGCTGAAATGTGCTGATAGAATTCCCTATGTGAGAGTGTATTCTAGTGTTCTAGGATATTACCTCCGACATCTTTTGGAAGTTGTATGGCAAATAAGACCAATCAAAAATTCACAAGAAGGATTTTACCAAGAGGACACACGATTGTGTGCATATGGCAGCTGGGAAGCTCTTGGCCTGCAGACTTGTTGCTAGAGCCGGCTAGTGTTTCTCTTGCTGAGAAGAATGCTGGAAGGTCAGTAGGGCAAACTAAAGTAAAGGGGAGTGACAGCTTGCGAACAGATGCGCAAAGAACATATGCTCACAGGATAAGTGCACAAGGGGCAGAAACGTGTTTCTGCAGGAAGGGAGTTGCGGTTGTGCTGGACAGGCACATGGTTCTGGCAGTTGTATTGGAAGACACTCAGGAAGAGAGTTGCGGCTGTGCTGGAAATACATGGAAGGAAGCGGCACACAAATGCGGATGAAGGTGGAAGTTTGCACAGCTGATGACAGCATAGAGAGAAACGAGATGGTGCGGCAGACCAGAGCAGCCAATCTGTGGTCACTGTGGCGGCTGAGCAGTAGAGGCGGAGACTGTGCATCTAAGCAGTGGGATCAATGCACACAGGAGGACCTGACCAGAATATTGGTGTAAGCTGGATGAAAGGCCAATCTTGGCTGTTGGTGATCGGCAACTAGTGGTGGCTGAGATGCTGGAACCAGCAATGAAGGCTGCTTTTTATGGCTTGTTGCCGGTCTGTGGTGACCAACTGTTTTGCTAATGGAGGGAGGTGCAAACGGTAGTTGCCTTCCGTGAGTTTTTTCGGTAATAAAGGTCAAGTAGAGGTTGTAAAGATTTCTTAGTGTAGGGATCTGATATTATTTTAAGAATTTATTGAATATCACATTCTTATATATATAGGTTATCCAGAGTATAAAGAGAAATAGGTAATTAGTTACACTTAACTATATAGAATGTACTTTACTCTTCTACCCTTTAATCTAATTTTCATAAAATACATATCTTTAAGAGTGTTATTAATTAAAAGCTACCTCCCATATTTGATTTTAGTATAGAAGTGGAAATGAATTCGGCGAAAACAGAACCCTATCAGAAGCTGACAAGCCTTAAATATTATGTTTTGGTTAACCTGCATTTTCAAAATAATCTTTTAAGGCCTTCTATGTAGGGCTTGAACATCTTAATGTGTTTTGGAATGTTACACTTGCGCGTGTTTGTTGAACCTGAACGTTTTGTTCTAAATCTTACGGTATGCTTGTACTTCTTAATATGTGATTTCTTTCAAGCATTTTCAGTTGCCATTTGATTGCCGTCTTCTTCATCTCGTTAACTGTGTTTCAGTATAGAATGCGTAATGTCCATCACATTATCAATGTATCACAACTGTTGTATCTTTATTACAGTTATGAAGTTCATAGTTATGGAAATGAAGTAAATGTATGGTTTAGCAATGCAATTGGACAACCTTGTGCTTTGCTGCGGTCCTCTGATTCCAAATATTGCTCGAACAAGAAAATTCTGGGCCTCTGTAGAGATGTTGGAAGCAGATTGAACTTCACCAATGAAGCTCAGTTTTTATTAATATCTGAAGAGAGTGTATCTGATCTCAACAAGAGATTAAGCTCAAGTATGTTCTTACATTTTTTTCCTTTTTCGTCCTGTAAGAAGCTTAGGTACATACACAAAAATATGCAACTATATAGGGGATGTGTCAAAAAGAAATATAATTTCAAGTTGCTGTATCTGAGTTCCATTGCTCAAAACAGGTTTAGCTTCTCTTAATGTTATAATCTATATCTGAAATTATATACTACTAATAATAGTAGGGATTATGCTAGTATATTTGGAAACAGTTAAAGATTCGAATAAGGAATCTTCAGTATTATACAACCACATACATCCATTTTGTTTCTTAAGTAAATAGTAGATTTTCCAACATTAGGATGGATAGTTAACGTTTTCTTTTCTTTGCTTCTACTATATATTATGATTTAATTTTCTTTAAGCAATGAGAATAATTTTTTGAGTGAAGAGTCTCCTAGAAAATTACACAAAGATTATATTGAAATTATAATTCAAAAATGAGGACCTTGAAATATATTGATCTCTAATAAGAATTCGTTAAAAAATCTGAAATAAAAATCCCCTACCCGAAAGTTTTAACCTCACTCAAACTGAATGCTAATATTAAAGAAAGATTTAGCATTTAAATATTTAGCAGTTGGCATTTCTGATTGATTTGGCATAGGTTTATGTCCTAGAAATTATTTAGGAATATGACAACACAGGAAGGTTGAGCTGTTTTGACTGTTCTGGCTTAGGAGTTACTTTAGGATTTAGACAAAGTATTTAAGAATCAGACATATAGGAAGTTTTTCTTTAAATATCGATCAGATCATACAAACTGGAAGCAATAGCTATAGCCTTCCGTCTATATAATATGTCTGTAAGCTATTTCATCAATAATGATCAGCCAAGAATATCTCTAAAAGAAAATGATGTTAGTGTACCCAGCCATAAGAGATTGTAGTTTTTTCTGAAGAAACCTCAAACCTAATTTGACAATGGCCATAAAGGATTCACCAAAAAGAAAAAGAAAAACAACAGCCATAAAGGAAGGAAATCTGTGAAACAAGCAGGCACTTGGTTCAAAATTTCAGGCCTAATCAACCCATAATTGGATTCCGAACTTTGGACGATATCAGTAATTTTATATGATATCTTTTATACATAATCATTAAGTTCTCATTGAATAATTCTACGGATGTTGGCTCTTTTCTATTTCTCTTTTACTTGATTAACTTGCTGCCAACTGGCTTTTACTGTTCAAATACATGTAAACCAACAATCAGTGACAGCAGATGTACAGGAAGGAACCAGTGAACCAGTCCAAGTCAATCCAATGAGATTTCGACCTAACCTTCTTATATCTGGTGGTGAACCTTATTCTGAAGATGGATGGACAAATCTTAAAATTGGGAACAACTATTTCACAGTATGTTCTGGAAACCCCAGTTTTACTACTACTGAATCTTATATGTGAAGTTTTTGCTGATAACCAAAAACTTTTCATCTTATTTTTTGTCTACACCATGGTAGATATAATCCATGACCTTTTAACTTAAATGTTTAATTTACTCTGATGTTAATGACATTTTGGACATTTCTTGTCATATATCTTTGGGATACGGTGGAATTCAAAAAGTTAGATATCCCTATTTAATATTGATTTTTGTTAGTTTGCTTACCTTGGCACATATTTGTTTTGCTACCTTCATGAAGGACACGAAACAATATAATAAAAGAATATGCTATGGATCACTTTGTCTTTAACAAGCCCCTTTTTTTTTTAAACTTTTTCTAGTCTTTGGGTGGATGCAACCGATGCCAGATGGTCAATTCTGTTTATCAAGCTGGAAAGGTGTGGAAGTCAAGGGATCCTCTGGCGACTTTGGCATCATACAGAAGGGTGAAGGTTAGTTATAGTACTTTTTTGCTTTTCTTGTTTCTGGACATGAATAGTTGGAAAATTATATTTCTTAAACCTTTTCATTCCTTTTTTCTGTTGTTTCTTAAAATGCAATCAGGGAAAGATTTTGTTTGGAATATTGCTGAAGTATCATTTTTGCACTGAGTTTGCTCTGGAAACTGATTCATGGCTTCAAGTGGGGCAAGAAATGCATCCAAATTAAGTATCTATCTTAATGTGTATATATATGGTCAGATATACACCTAATGGACTACCTACTTACAAGGCCATATAAGGTACCAAAAAGAAAAAGTTGAAGCGGTCCAGTGAAAATGTAGCTTACCAGTAAAACTCCAACAATATAATTGAGGGTCAAACATGTTGAAATAGCTCTATCTCTTGATTGGATACTTTTAAGTGGAATGCCTTACGAGCAGAGCAATGAAAATGATTATTGTTAAGAGGAAACCCTAGTTTACATGCTGAATCTGTTGATAAATCTCCTCGGCAGTTGTCTTGTGGAGCACTTCAATGTAAAATGGTGAATAAATAGTATGCCATGTACACAAATTCTTGTGATAAATGAGTGCTTTCTCCAAATGTTAGGCATCAAGCTAGTTTTATATATGTTTTGTGATGGTTCGTATGTGCATATTTTATATACGACCTCAATAGATACTTGGATGTGGAAAACATGAATTAACACCCATGGAATGACCTGCTTATTAGACTCTTCTTGATATGCATAAATTGAATACCAACACTGATTTCACAATCTAACTTTTTCCACTCGTTAAATTCTTTTGAAGTAGTATTTCTTCCATTTTTTTCTTATGTTACAATTTTTTTAGGATAAAACTCAACGTCTATGGCTCTAAACAAGATGTTAGGTACCTAGCTTGATTTTGAAGAAATTAAGAAAGAAAAAGAGTTGCAACAGAAGTAGAAAGGACTTTAGGAGAAGATAAAAGCAGATCTAGAGAGAAGAAAGGTAGAAAATATAGAAGAGAGAGGAAGAACCGTTGTAGAGAGAAAAGTTGTGGTTTTTATTTAGACTTCTTGTTTTTTCTCTATTAAGATTAAACAGTCCCTGTATCTCTCCAATGACACCTCAGCCATACACTTAACCAGAGTATCATCTTACACTAATTTGTTAAATTCTTCTATAATATCTACCGTTACTAAGCTTCCAAACCTCCTGCATAACTCTTCCATAAATATTTCTCATTCAAACAATCTATGGTTAATTGCTACTGAATGGAACCAGATTTTAGCTTTGCTCCCTAAATATAGTGAAGTTCTATGTAGTTTATTTTCTTCCGCAATATTAAAAACTTGAAAGTATTTAATGCATCTCCTAATCCAATTCCTTGGGTTTTTACCCTCAAAGTAGGAATATCTATCTTTGGGATAGGGTTTCCCATGAGGTTACCTCTCGGGCTCAGCAAACTACTAGCCTGAAGTATTCCTTGATCAACATTCAAAGTGGAGACTGAGTGACTTACCTTGATGGGTGTGTCGCCCAACCACGCGCCACCTCATTACAGTTCTGTAAGCTGCTCAATTCTTTGATTAAAGAAGATCATCCTCTGATTGAT